GAGGGGTTGACAGCTTGACACGTGGGGCACGAGCGAATGTATGCCTTAACGTCGGCGAGTAGGGAAGGCCAGTAGAAGTAGCGGGACATGGTGTCGAAGGTCTTCTGGAAACCGAGATGTCCTGCGGTCTTGGCGTCGTGGTGCTCGGGCAACAGCTGAGTACGGAGGCCTCGTGCTTCGGGGATGCAAAGTCGGCGAGTGCCTTTGGTATCGATGTAGAGGAGATTGTTGTGAAGGGAGTAGTTGGGAACTGAGTCAAGATCGCGGAGCTTGTTGTAAATGGTGGCAAAGTCTGGGCAGGAGAGATAGCCTTAGGTGTATCGATGATGAAGCGATGGAAGGAGTTGAATATGAGTCATGGTGGCGTAGACTTTCTCGGGGTGCTTGTGGTCGGGTCGTCGTGAGAGGGCATCGGCAATGCGGTTGCTTTTGCCGGGGGTGTGGCAAATGGTGAATGTGAACTGGGCAAGGAAGTCTAACCAGCGGGCTTGGCGTGGAGTGATATCTTTCTTGGAGAGGATGGAGGAGACGATGGTGTTGTCAGTGCGGATGGTGAAGTATTGCCCGTCGAGGTACGGGCGCCAGACTGTGAGGGCGTGAATCACGGCGAGGAGTTCCTTCCTGTGGAGGGGTAATTCATCTCCGCGGGAAGGAGCTTCTTGCTTGCGAAGGCGATAGGGTATTCGCCAGGTGGAGCCTCGGGGTGAGTGGACGAGTCCTTGATGGGGGGGGGGTCTCAGCGGTGTCGCGGTGGAAATGTTGGGATAGTACGGCTCCGATGGCGAAGTCGGAGGCGTCAGTGGTGACATAGAAATGGCGAGTGGGGTCGGCGATCTTGAGGACAGGGGCCGTGGTGATGGTTTGCTTGAGTAAGTCAAAAGCTTGTTGGCGGCGATCGTTCCAATGGAAAGGCTCGTCCTTGCGGGTGAGTTCGTGGAGAGGGTAAGAGATCTCGAAAAAGTTGCGAATGAACGGTCGGTAATAGTTGGCAAGGCCAAGGAAGGAACGGAGTTGGAGGAGGGTCTTGGGTGGGGGGTACTCGACGAGGGCTGTGACCTTTGAGGGGTCCATACGGATGCCTTCAGCGGAGACAATATGGCCGAGGTATTCGACGCTCGAAGTGGCAAACGTACATTTGCTAAGCTTGGCGTAGACTTTTTGCTCTCGGAGGATCACGAGGACTTGGCGGAGGTCTTGAAGGTGGGACTCGAAGGTGGGGCTGAAGACAAGGATGTCATCAAGGTAGACAACGACACAGACTTCGAGGAGGTTGCGGAAGATGTGGTTCATGGTGGATTGGAAGGTAGCGGGGGCATTGGTGAGTCCGAATGGCATCACGAGGAACTCGTAGTGCCCGAACCGAGAGCGGAAGGCGGTCTTGTGAGTGTCCTCCTCGCGGATACGGATCAGGTGGAAGCCACTACGAAGGTCGATCTTGGTGAAGTACTTGGCTCCACGGAGACGATCAAGGAGATCGAAAATCCGAGGCAGAGGGTACTTATTCTTGATCGTGATCCGGTTCAAGGCGCGGTAGTTTGTGCACATGCGGAGTTCCGAAGTTCCACCTTTCTTGACGAAAAGGCAGCTGGTTCCGAAGGGGGATGAACTTGGCTTAATGAACCTTTTTTCAAGGAGTTCACCGAGTTGCCGTTTCATTTCTTCAGCTTCGGGGACAGAGCGTTGGTATGGAGGGCGGCAAGGTGGAGAATGTCCGGGTTCCAAATCGATGGTATGCGATACGCCACGATCCGGAGGTAGTCCGGCGGGTAAGGACTCGGGAAAGACGTCCCTGAACTCGTCGAGGATTGAAGTGATGGCGGGGTTGGAGGGCGGGGCTTGATCGGGTTTGTCCGTCGGAAGTAAGTCCTTGGGACTTTCGCGATCAAGGACAAGACAGTAGTAGGCGGAGTCGGGGTTTAGGCGAGCCATGTGGAGGAATTGGTGCGGGGTG